TATACAATTCCAATATATATTTTCTTAAGTCCTAACACAATGTGCATGAGGGAGTGGATGCTATCACAAATACAAAGGTAAGTGTATATCACTAGCTTGGTTTATCACAAATACAAATACAAAGATAAGTGTATCTTGGTGTCACGAACCCAAACCTAGGTAAAGATGTCATGCTGCAAAAAGATGGTTTGTGCGATAAATCCTATCCTTGAGGACATCGATTACCAATTTGCACTGAAACATTGTCTTAGCTCCCACATGAAATCACCTCAAGGCAAAGAAGGTGACATTGAACATGATACACCTATATGATATGCCGTATATATGATACACCTAACACATTTTTTTGCATTTTCTTTGAATTTATATTCCTTCATTTTTAATTTACAAGTTTTTTAGTCCTAATTTTTTGCCAGGTTTATATAATTCCAATATATATTTTCTTAAGTCCTAACACAATGTGCATGAGGGAGTGGATGCTATCGCAAATACAAAGGTAAGTGTATATCACTAACTTGATTTATCACAAATACAAATACAAAGATAAGTGTATCTTGGTGTCACGAACGCAAACCTAGTTAAAGATGTCACGCTGCAAAAAGATGGTTTGTGCGATAAATCCTATCCTTGAAGACATCGATTACCAATTTGCACTGAAACATTGTCTTAGCTCCCACATGAAATCACCTCAAGGCAAAGAAGGTGACATTGAACATGATACACCTATATGATATGCCATATATATGATACACCTAACACATTTTTTTTGCATTTTCTTTCAATTTATATTCCTTCATTTTTAATTTACAAGTTTTTAGTCCTATTTTTTTGCCAATTTAGGTTTATACAATTCCAATATATATTTTCTTAAGTCCTAACACAATGTGCATGAGGGAGTGGATGCTATCGCAAATACAAAGGTAAGTGTATATCACTAACTTGGTTTATCACAAATACAAATACAAAGATAAGTGTATCTTGGTGTCACGAACCCAAATCTAGGTAAAGATGTCACGCTGCAAAAAGATGGTTTGTGCGATAAATCCTGTCCTTGAGGACATCGATTACCAATTTGCACTGAAACATTGTCTTAGCTCCCACATGAAATCACCTCAAGGCAAATAAGGTGACATTGAACATGATACACCTATATGATATGCCATATATATGATACACCTAACACATTTTTTTTGCATTTTCTTTCAATTTATATTCCTTCATTTTTAATTTACAAGTGTTTTAGTCCTAATTTTTTGCCAATTTAGGTTTATACAATTCCAATATATATTTTCTTAAGTCCTAACACAATGTGCATGAGGGAGTGGATGCTATCGCAAATACAAAGGTAAGTGTATATCACTAACTTGGTTTATCACAAATACAAATACAAAGATAAGTGTATCTTGGTGTCATGAACCCAAACGTAGGTAAAGATGTCACGCTGCAAAAAGATGGTTTGTGCAATAAATCCTGTCCTTGAGGACATCGATTACCAATTTGCACTGAAACATTGTCTTAGCTCCCACATGAAATCACCTTAAGGCAAAGAAGGTGACATTGAACATGATACACCTATATGATATGACATATATATGATACACCTATATGATTCACATTTGATCAAACAAGATTCCAACTTGCCTATTCATAAGCCCCTGGTACCTTGGACACATTAGAAAAGGGTCTGTTCATTGTAGAGTACATAAATAGTAAAGCAAATGACAAAATGTTAATACAAGGGGTCGAGTAACACACTGCAAATAAAACCACGTGAAAGAAAAAAGTTTTCGAGAAATTGGAAAAAAGATTCACCTGATTTGGACAACAAATGCGAAATCTAAACACGTTTAATGTTTTTACAATAAATCAAAATAAAAAAGATGAACACCATGAACCCGGTGCCGACAAGTGGGTCCCTCATGTCAGTGGCACACCCTTTTCCCACTTTTTTTTTTGTAATTTTTGCCAAAAATTGGCTTGGCGCCCGCATGCAGCCATTTACCACCTAATACCCCGCCCATTATGCGAACAAAACAAATCTTAACCTCCCCACTTCCTCATTATCCTCCCCATCTCCTCCAATTCTTTCCTTTCCCTCCTCCAACTCGGTTCCCGATTTGCACCCGCCGCCGCCGCTTGTCTTCGCTGTCGCGTCGTCATTGGAGGGGCACCGGTGCAGGACAGGCCGCACCCGGAGGCCGCCACGACGTGCCTCCCCACCGCCGGTGCTCAAACTTCAAGGACTCCCGGACTTCCTCTTCGTCAGAGTTACGACAACCCTAAAGCCATTGATCTATTCACTTTTCACTTATGAAAGAGTAATGCATGTACCTATGTGTTGATGTAGTTAACTTGTTCAATGTAGCTGGACTACAGATTGCATCAATGGAGACTCAATTGACGTCACCTGCGTTCAACATGCCAACACCTGCTTCATTGTCTAGACCTAGGGCGACGATGTCGCTTTTTCAAACACCTTCGTCTAGGACGACGACTCCTCCTACCAATGAAGATGGAGGTGATGGCAGCCAATCACAAGAAAACCTCCGGCGGTCCACTCAGGATGACAACAGGTAACGGTACAATGTCTGTCTGGATGCTACTGCAATGATTTAGAATTCGACAAAATACTTCAATAATAGTGAGATCCTTCAATAAACGGTAGTGAGATGCTTCAATAATATGAAGGACACATTATTGTTTGCCATTCTCAAGTTGTTCCTTCTTTAAATATTGTTTAGGGTGTGCTTATGTTTCTCATTACATTCTGTGATAGCTCGGAACAAACATGGACTATTTCTTTCACTTGCAAGGGGGCACCGGGGGGACAACAATTTGCTTAGTATACAATAGCTAGGGACGACCTCACGTTTGGTAGCTTAATAACAGTGAAATCAAATTTGGGGTATGGTACCAGGGACTACTTGTACTACAAGAGGAGAAGTGGTAACTCTGTAGCAACACTAAACGAGATCGAATATGATGTCGATGTAAATGCAATGATATCAAGTAATGCAGAGGAGAGGGAGGTCAGATTAGTATTGTTAAGGGATCAAATAACAGAGCGAACTATGGACATGACACCCATTAAATTGCCAAGAACTATGGCATCAAATAGTGAACATTCCATAGATGAGTCACTTGATAATTACAAGGTGTGGCTTAAAAATATGCATAGACAGGGCCAAGGCATGGGTAAGTTATGTTGCTGCCCTATTATGAATTGTTATATTATATTATATTGCAATGGCCAGATCACTAATAGCAGCATTGCTTTTGTAGATTTTGAAGATATATACAGGGATGACATAGTCAAGACTTACAAAGAATGGTTAAGGGTGCAAGGACAACTAGATCAAATTAGTAATATATACCTTCTTTTCCCAAAATGTCAACCAACTTATTATTAGTCCTTCGCAATACATTTATAGTTTACACTTGTGACCTATTGTCTGTAGGTGCATATGACAACCCTACAAATCAGATAGTTTTACTAAATTCAAGTCAAGATAGCAATCCAACACCACCTCTGAACCAGCCATCACATGCTCAGCGTGAGAAAACACAGGGAGATAGTAAGTGATGTTTATTGTGATTTTATTTTGATGTTCAGTTCAGTTTTCCCTATGTAAATGATTTTGTTTAATCTCTTGCACTGTATATTGTTTTGATGGACAAGACTCCCAAAAGAGGAAGGCATGAGGTACTGTGAAAGGATTGGCAGCCAGCCACAAGAGATCCAAGCAGGGTAGTCAGAAGCTTAAAGTCCAATTCTCTACACGTGGAGGAGCTGTAGGTGAGAACATACGCACATTTACTAATGAAATAGTAGTGTACACAAGGAAGAAAGCACCACTCATTGGGGTGAGAACATGGAAGGAAATCCACCAAGATGTCAAATATTCAATAGTATCTGATATGATGGTAAGTTTCTGATTTGTTTTTGCTAGCATACACAGTTTTGTTACCAAATTAGTTAAGAAGGGACCTAGAATTTATGTTTTATATGTTGAACAGCATAAGTGGGACATTGAGAATAACGAAGAAAACAGAAAAAAATATGGACCATCGCTAATGAGCGTTACAAAGGATGGCGAGCAACATTAAGTGCTATGTACAGGGCGTACACCACCTATGAGGAGAGAATGAGACATAAGCCAGAAGAGTTGGACATTGTTGAATGGCACTATCTAGTTTTGTATTTTGGCAAGACAAGTTTTCAGGTTTGATGACCTTTACTTTATTCTTGCCATTTGCACTTGATGAAATAAAGGCTATGTTTTGGTACATTGCAATATTTTTTATAATCAACTCCTTGTGCAGAGGGTTAGTTGCAAGAATTCTCAGAATCGGCAGAATGTAAAGGTACACCATCGGGTAGGATCAAAGACTTTTTCTCAGTGTGGCTTTGAGAAGGTAATAACTTCAGAAGCACATGACCATGCTTCCTTACCTTTTGACATATCGCTAATTTGTTACATTCTTGCCTAATTAGAGGGACCCAATAACTGGTGATGAGCCAAATGATTTGGAGCTTTTCATGATCACGCACAGTAAGAATGGGCAATGGACAAGCCAAGAATCTAGGGATGTCTATGTGAGTATATAACAGTTTGTACAAACCTTATTAACTGATGCAAAGTGACCGCCTACAAAATCATTTTCAATTAACTACTTCAACTGTCCTCCTTTGTTAGGATAATGCATGCAGCAAAATTTTGGAGAGGGAAATAGATGGAGAAGCACTCATCATCTCAGACGTGGAGCAAAATAAGATTTTCCAGTCAGCCTACCAGGAAACAAGAAACTACAAATCAACCACGATCTATGCTAATGGATACTTGGCAAAATACCCAACTAGAAGGCAACTACTATCTGAGGATTACCAGTACCAAGTGCGTCAGGAATCGGCACTAGCCAAAGTATTTTCAAAGCTACAAGAGAGATTAGAATCTCAAGAGGCTGAAAGGGAAGCCGAAAGGGAAGAACATAGGCATCAGATGGAACAAATGATGAAGGCAAGGGAGGCCGATAGAGAAGCTCTTAGGCAAGAGTTTATGGCAATGATGCAAGCAACACATGTACAAGCATCAATACAACAGGTAATAGTCGGCTACAAACCATGCATCATTTTCGTAGTTTCAAACTCCAATCATGATTTTTCTGACCAAAATTGAAATGCAGGCTAACAAAGATGGGGGACAAAATGCAGAGGTTGCTGCTACAACAAACATGGACGAAGAAAATGTAAATACAGAAAGTGAAGAAATATCACATCAGCATGTAGTTTGAGAACTGAAGAGTGTTTAATGTTGTGATGTGATAGTCCTTAGTATGAGGCATAATTTTCCCTCCATCTATTGATTTGCAGGAAAACCAAGATAACATCCCACCACAAACACAACTCGAAGCTACAACAGCGGCAGGTACAAGTAATGGTCGCACAACTAGAAATAGTGCCGCGAATAAGACTCAAACTGGCCAAAACAAAGGAGGGGATACGACAGTTAGTTTTACTACTACTAAAGCACTGAGGGATGCTGCGGCTAAGAAACGAGCATTATCCAAAAGGAATCAACAAGCTGGCAAAGCACAGGTGATTTTTGACTCCACTACCTGTGAATATTTCTGAATCAGATTCAATTGCCTAGTTCCTATTACTGTAAAGTGAAATGATACTTAGCTAAATACTAAGTTTCTGTTTGCTGAATATACCAATGTTAACGATTGTTTTAGGAGCAAGATAGAGTTTGAGTGGAGCACACAACTAATGGACGGTCAATGTCAAGGCAACCTTTGCTACAGTGCTACACATAGCTTGTTACATTTTGAATTGTTCAAAGTAGCTACTGTGCGTCAGATACCTTATGTGTTTCAGTTGTTGTGCGTGTGTTATCAACTAAGTTTGACATTGGATGTGGTTTCATTAATGAGTTGTACGAACAAAGCATATTTTGGATTAATGGATGTCTAAATGCTTCTTTCATCATATATTGTATATTGTTCGGCATGCAATTATTGTTTGAAGCAAACAGAGCGTTGCAATATGGACTATCGACAAAATAATTTGGCGTTGCAATATATGATATAGCAACAAACAAACGGTGTTGCAAAAAACATCATACCAACAGAATAGTGGGTGTTGCAATAGAGTCTCCAAACTATAGGAACACAATAGTTAGCGTGGCAATAGAGGGTCCAACAATAGCAACTAGTATTCATCGTTGCAATAGAGAGGCAACCTCTAGCAACCAAACATTTTATGTGGCAATAGACAGAGGCACCTATAGCAACCATAATGTTTAGTGTTGCAATAGAGCGGCTACCTCTAGCGACCAAATATTTATCATGGCAATAGACGGTTCAACCTATAGCAACCAGTATTGATCGTTGCAATAGAGCGGCTACCTCTAGCAACCAAATATTTATCGTGGCAATAGACGGTTCCACCTATAGCAACCACCGAGATAGCGTGGCAATAGAGGGTCTATCTATTGCAATGCTATTGATGCATGGCAATAAGGTCTATTTCAACACCCAATATAATTGCTAGTGCACCTATTGCCACGCTTTGGGTACGTGGCAATAGGTATTTCTGGCAACACTGGGTGTGTTGCAATAGTAACTATTGCAACACCCACCATGGTTGCCTATACTATGGGTTGCAACACTACATGGCGATGCAACAACACTCCTTGGTGTTGCAATAGGAGAAAACCTATTGCAACACCAAAATGAGTCGTTGGGCAAACCTTTTGCCACAGTTACTATGGCAACGCCTGCCAACAAAAAAAAGTGTTGCAATTTTGTCTATCGCAACCATTTTTGGTATATTGCAATGCTTTTAGGCCATTGCATCAGGGGTAAAACCTTATAGTGCCCATACTTCCCCGTCGGGGTCACGTCGGGTCACCTTTGGTACAATTCAGGTACAGTTGCGGGTCCGATCAGCGCTGCACCCTCAGGGATACGACTAGTCTGCCAGGAAGTTTAGGCCTAGCCTGCCCTTGGACTCACGCCACTAGCTCCCCACACATCCTTACTACCTCTAGTGTGTGCACTTTCACTTACCGAGCCCCGGCCTGAGTTGAGCTACTTGGCTTCGTGGTCGGAATGACTTATCCGGCCAACTTAGTGCTAGGCATGAGTTCAACATGACATGAGGACGTACAGCGAATCGGTCCTTAATGGACACAGACAGGGATAAATAGGCACCAAGACCTCCATGCCTTGTTGCTTCTCTATCACAATCCCGCCTGGTCTCCTTTTTATTCATCATTACATGGTTATTTCCATGATAGCAATTATAGACAACTGTGATTAGATATCTACCTATATCTTGTAGGTGATAGGAAATCACCCAACTTCTATTGGACTAAGCATGGCTAGGCATATATTCGATCCTAGACCTACAAGTGTTTCCAATCAACTCCTATAACCTAATGCATCAAACAAAAAGGACGCAAGTGATATTTGTAAAAACATAAGAGGCTTATAATGCTTTGGGGCTTGCCATTCAAGAACAAGGAAGGTTGGTGGTCAGGACACTCTGGAAGATCTTCCACGTTGACTCCTTCCGCCTGAACCTCCTGCTCCTGGGCTGCCTGTTACTCCTCCTGATGCTCGGGTTCAAACTCGAGTAGAGTCACTCCTTCCGGGGAACCTATTGCATGCATATGCACAAATGAGTATCATGAATGCATAAGAGATAAGATGATATGATAAATTGTATATGCATGAGCATGGTCATCTGCAAGATGTATTATAAGTTTAACATTCGTTGACCAAGTAGATACATAACTTTCTTCTAGTTGATCTTTACTGAGTAGGTGTATATCTCTTATATAGTACAAGAAACATACACTCACCAAGTTCTAGTAACCTAAGGTAAAGTTGTTCATCATCAGTAAGAGGCTTAGAACCTACAGCTAACAACTAATCTCAATTAGCCTAAGCATCTACGCAAGCATCACATAAGACAAACAATTACAATTGACTTAGTCATTTCATGTTGTAAACAACATCTATTTATTTTACCCATATCTGGAGTTCTACTCAACCAAATACTATGATCTTCGACTTTATGGAAAGCTTATAAAACTGCCTACAACTTTCTTATAGTCATCTCAAGATTATTCAATGGCTATCAAGGTCAAACAAAGCATTTTCCCAAATCTGTCCAGAAATTATAGAGAATAAGCATTTCTGGAGACTAACTTCCAACAGCTGTAACTCTCAAACCATTTAGTCTATTACCATGAAAATTTGACACAATCAAGATAAGTAAGTTACCTACAACTTTGTTATTGACAAGATGCACAGCAAACATCATTTTACTCAAGCAATTTACTGAACAACAGAAACTGTCCAAAACAGTCACTAAAATTGAATTATAGATCAATTAATATTTCACTGCATACAAACAATCAAATTTGGGCACATACAATGGTACCAACAGTTCATAGACATCATATACACTTTAAAAAACATAATGGTCAAGCCCAAATAAATTATTTAAATGCCTTTATTAATTTATTTGGACACTAAGGTGAAATAAGGAACACATATCTAAAGTGCATAGTAAATTCTGATAAAATTACAGTAGCCTACATATGACCCCAAAAGTCTACCGTACAAATTTCATATCATTTGGATAAGTATAACCATCCCTACAAAAATGACAAGTTGCATAGGCTTATTTTAGCAAAAATAGTTTAGCCTAGTGAAAAGTGTCACATATTTTTCTTACTTTCATCCTAGCACCATAACTCCTTGCAAGTTAATGTGTTTGACACATTTCCTTTAAGGGGGGATGATTGTAACATCCCAGACATTAAAAAGCAGTTAAAACTTTATCATAAGCATCATCAAGTATCATGTCATGTATGCACTCCATGTTTCATTTATAGCATTGCTATGCTGCATATATAGTGTTTCTTAAGTTGCATGAAATGTTAACAATCATAGTGATTAAGGATCTTTGTGAATTTATAGATTAATAATTTGCTTAAACAATTAAAATTTTGATAATATAAACTTTGTAGTTCAAAGTGTGCTTTATAAAATAGAATCAAAAATTGATGTTGTTTCTAAATCAAACATGTTTAAATTTGATCTCAAAGATTGGATTCAATAGCTATTTCTCATACTTAGCCATTTTGACTAAGTCCCTGATTTTTGGTTGTTATGTTCAATTTTTGGAGAATTAATAAATGAATTTTCATAAATAAAATTTGTCCAACTTTTGTTCTATTAATTGGAGAGATGCTTGAGCTATGTTGCCATGTATTTGATTGATATGATTGATAGCTGTTTGATCACTAATTAATGGTGAAACTTGCTAATCAAAAACCAATTTTACCAAACCCTAACTGAATTTCTGTTCTTGTTTCAATGTGCTTGATTTTGAAATCTAAGATCTTGCAAACCATCAAGTTTTAGATGCTAGGCCTATAAGCAATGTGGGAGATCTATGATCAATGAATAACTTTGCTTAAGGTCGATCATCAAGTGGTGTTGCAAAATCATGAGCAAATGAGATCTAAAGTTGAGGTTTTAGTCGGCTACGGTGGTCACCGATGTCCTATCTGCCTGCTCACCGCCCATCGCCCCCGCTTTACCGCCTTAGTGTGCTTAGGGCATGCAGCTGCTTCAGTGGTGGAGTCAAGCAGGAGCTAGCGACCTCGATGCTTCGCTTGCATCCAATTTAACATGACATCGTCGGCTGCATTCCCTCTCTTTTCCCTCTTCCTCGCCGCCGGCACCGCTCGCCTCGCGGACCAAATTGGCCACCACCGAAGCACCACAACCCAATTCCTCGCACCAGAAGATTCACCTCGTAGCTGAGTATCCGTTAAGCCTGCTCTCACCATCCCGCTCTGCCAGCATCGCCGTCGGTGATGTTTCCCACCACGATGGCTCGCCATGGCCACCGTGGATAGCTCCACCATGGCCAGCCCACTCCAGAGCATCGCACGCCTCCTCGTTGATTGTTCTCATTTCCTTGTGGCTCGGTGATGCACACCATCCCTTTGTTTTTGTCAGGCATGCATCAGATGCCTAGAAACGCTACCGTGTTGCTGGTCCGCGCCACCGTCACCGCCAGCCGCTACTTCTGCTCCGCCTCCGCTTCATCCGCGAGGTCAACCGAGTCACGGTGAGGACCCTAAGGCCATCCCGAACCCCAGCTAAGCTGATTAGGCTCAGTAGCAACCACTTCACCATCGAGCCCCCATGCTTTGTGCCACCACGCCGCCATGGTCATGGCTGCACACGCACCTAACCCTAGCTTG